CCTTATGGCCAAGCCCCCGCCCCCTCGGCCATGATCCCCGCAACCCCCATGAGCTCCAACCACACGCGCAACCTCATTGGCATGAACGCCGTCAACGCCTGCCGCCTCAACGACACCAAGAACAAGCCCGGCTTCTGGTTTGTCCTGCAAGACCTCAGCGTCCGCACAGAGGGCACCTTTCGCCTCAAGCTCTTCCTCTTCGACATTGGCGCCGGCGACGGCACAAACGCCACCGTTGCCGCAGACGGCCCCACGCGCGGCAAGGGCAAGTGCCTCGCCGTCAACTTCTCCGACCCCTTTACCGTCTATTCGGCAAAGAAGTTCCCCGGCGTCATTGAGAGCACGCCGCTGAGCAAGTGCTTTGCCCAGCAGGGCATCAAGATTCCCATACGCAAAGATGGCCCCAAGCTCCCTAATCAAGCAGAGTATGATGCCGATGATTAATCCTGTAATTTACTAGCACCTTTTCGCTACGAATAAACACAAAATTTCCATTCTTCCAAAATAGACTTGACATACTTTAAAACCAACTAACAGATGATGGCTGAAAAGTAGATAGCTCATCATACTTAGACTTACAATTTATTATTACCATGTAACTGCTACGATGTAGCTTTCTCCCCCATATGGATGCCCCAAAATGCTGGTCATGACTGTAGAGTCCTCTTAGGTAAATAACTAACAAAATATTTATTGTTTGATAATTATAGTTCATTTATTCGTACGTTAGATCCGCAGCAACTTGTGCCCTCGTTATTGCTTGTGAAAAATTCTAGTTTATAAATCTCGTAAAAGATGCCATCTACTCTATATGTTTGACGACATTGCCATGTTCGCCTTTTTCCATTATGTACTCTGGTACAAGTGACCCTACAATTGGCTTTCTCGATTCTCGAACAAGCGATAGAATCGAACCACTTTCCTGAAACATCATCTCAAGCTCCTCTAGACTGCGGCCCATGGTTTCTGGGTAAAGGAAGTAGATGATTGGAACAATTGAAGCAGACACAGACAGGAATACCAAATAGTATCGCCAGCCAATAGTTTCAATCGCCACGGGGGTAACCTAGCAGGTGTTAGTGCCAACTCTGGTTAAAATCGAGCATTCTGCAGTACTCACCATGTTGATGACGAAGTTCCACAGCCAGTGATTCGCGGTTGATATACCCGCCATGCGAATCCTAAGTCTTGTTGGGGCGACCTCAGTACAGTATAGGAAGTTCGCTCCAGAGAACCCAATAGGTATGAAGAAGTTGAACAAGTAGATAAAGAACGCTGAGGCAATCTGTGCGGCATAGTTGCTCTTTGGGAAGCTAGAGGCAACGGCAAGGGCCAACATGCACGAGGCCATTCCACAACCACTAAACATGAAGAGTTTGCGGCGACCGAATCGATCAATCGTAAAGTAGGCAATAAAGCAAGAGAGAAACTTCCACGTAAGAGCTCCCCCTGATAAGATGCGAGACATCTCACTGCTCATTCCGAGGCCTTGTTGAAAGATAATCTGATATCGTTGCGTTAGTCAAGCCACTGTAGATTGATCCGAGTGCTACTTACCGTCGAATATGTCGATATCAGATTAGCTCCACACATTTGTTGTGCAAATTGTAGAAAAATACACAGGGAAAACCTGTAGAACAATCTATCCTTGCCCATGGTGAAGATGTCGCTTATCTTAGCCCGGGCCTTGGTCTCCTCTAGTGCGAGTTCAATACCGTTGATCTCGTCACTGATGACGGGATCGGTAGAATCAAGTCCCTCGAAAGCGGACATGCTCACACGCGCCTCTTCATATCGAGATTGTTTGCAAAGCCACCTTGGAGATTCCGGAATCGTAAAGACGGCAACCATGGGCACGATTGAGATCAGAGTCGGGATAGCGAGCGGGATCCGCCATTGTAGAGGTAGGTTGTCCTTGATCTCGAAAAACCCAAGGTTAATCCACGCCTCAAGCATGTAGCCTGCAAGGATAAAGACACCATCGAGAACAACGTGTTTGCCGCGGTTTGCGGTTGTCGAGCATTCCGATTGCCAAACAGGAACTGTTGCGCTCATGCCTCCAACGCCCCATCCTAGAATGATTCTTCCAACAACGAATTGCGCAACATGAAAGCTGGTGCATTGGAGGATTTCTCCCACAAGTGTCAGGAAGGCGGCCGTAAAGATAATCTTGCGATGTCCATATTTTTCCGCAGACCAAGAGCAGGATAGAGCTCCAAAGAGTGCGCCAATTGTAAACGATGCCACTACAGCACCCTGTCTTGTTGACTTCTGACTCTTTTCAGCACCCTGAGCATCGATTGTATCAATCTCGGGGAAATTATGGTTCCAATCACGAAGCGATAGGAGGCCACCAACACCTGATTGATTGTAACCGAAAAGCACAAACGCTGGCATGACTACAAGTAGCAGCTGAGCAAGCCGTAGTTGCTTTCCGGTGAGCCCCATACTGTCTCTGCCTCTCTGGCGGAGTACGGTCGGACGGGAAGAATGGTCCTTTGATTGGTCGAGGGTTTCAACGTGTCGTCGGATCGTGAACTGGTGACACACACAGCTGAGGTTGATCTGGGTAGATGACAAAAGTGAAATCCGGGAGCAGCGCGTTATTTGTATTCCAATCGGTACGATTAGAAATGCGCTTATCCAAGAAACTGTGGGGAAATGTCGGGGCAGGTTGAAAATCCCCAAGATACGACACCGAAAGATCCGGGGAATGAGAACAGGCGCTCCGCTAACAGTACAAATTTGCAACTCGCAAGCGGCCGATAATGGCATCAATTCGGACGAAAACCGAAGCTCACCAAGCCTCACCAAGCCTAGACGCAAGAGTGCTAAGACATTTGACAGTTCTTGTGCCTCCGACCCGCGGGTACAGCAACAAATCAAGTCCACGGGAGGCGCACGGGAAGCCCGCGGCATTACCCGCGGGAAGTGCAAATGACAACCCACGGGAAAACCCACGGGAAGGCCACCCATGCCTTGAGTAGTTATACGTAAACAGTTAGTAGCAGTCGGGATACTTGCCATACTAGGGAGCACATCCGACAAGCCGTGCAAACCCTACCATTAACGCCCATGCGACTAGCTATCACAGGTCAAGCGTATCGTATTTTCTAGACCGTTTGTGGGAATACTTCGCTGTGACATGACGTTTTGTTGCTTTGTCAATACCGCCTGGGTGGGGCTTCAATCAAACCTGGACAAGATTCCATTTTCGTCCTCTTTCCGATCAATAGTAACTGTCCGATAGAGAGCTCGCTTGTTGCCGTTCAAAGGCCGGCACATCAAAGTCTGGCGTCGTTTGTCGTTTCTTGTGGCTGGCTTCAACCCTAAACCACCTTGAACTGAACCGGTGTTCACACGAGAAGTCTGCAACGATGACATGGGCGCCCATCGCTAGCCATTAGTTTGACGTCTTTCATACGAGCTGATGAGAAACGAAGGATCAGATCTCTTATCGTTGACCTAGTGTCGCGATGCATAATGTCCCCGTCCTTTCCAACGCTCGTTGATCTTTGAGCAAAAGTCGCCATTATTGCATCGAGTTTGAGTTCAATGACATCTTCAGTCCTTGTAAACCCTCCAGCTTCATTGATTCTATCAAGTATTGCTGTCCTGCGCGTCAAGTCCCTACTAAGTTCACGGCTATTTTTGGATGGCGAACCTATTTTACATCTGCAGCGCAACTGGCATGGTCATCTACTTGACTGTGTTTAGTGCATAGATTAAGCAAGGCTATGCGCCTTTGGTTTCTGGGGGCTAGCGTTACAGCCGGCCTCGACCCGGCTGCCCTTGAGTGCTTCTTCGCTGCTCTGGCGGGACCCAACACGCGCTGTACAGCCGAGGAGCCAGGAGCACCACTAGCATTTTCGCCGCTGCTGCCAATATTTCCAAGCATACATTGCCAAGTCTGTTAGGTTCGTTTTGCTCTCTTTCTCGACTTCTAACGTGGGTGGCTCACTGACATGTTTGGAGTTCTAGACTTGTTTGGCAAATCACAATTCTCTTTGGCATGGCTTGCATTGCTGGCCACGATGACCACCCGAGATGTAAGACCTCAAGTCACTGTAGGCCATGCTCATGGCTGACTCGGTCATAACAATCATCCTGACTGGCTGATTCAACTGCTCTGACTCTTGAGGTAGAGAAGCCTGATGAAAGACTAATCAAGTCAAGAGAAACGAGCTCGCTCTCATGAAGATTAGCGATGACTTGTAGGCAATAAGTTAGGGTATGTACTCTGGATTAACAACAAATTTTCGATGCACAAAAAGAGGCCCGCACCCTCGACTATCACGCCCTGTATTCGGCCCGATGTCCTTATAGTCATACAAAGTCACGTAAAAGGCCAACTTCTACCGTCATGTGCACAATCTATATTGCTATAGACTAACAGGTAGCAATCACACACACCAACTTTTAAGCAGAAATTTTTCAT